CTAATGACATTTTGAGCTCTGATTGGCTGTAAAACCAAAGCTGTGAATCCTCAGAGGACAGGTGTCGATACCAAAGCCTCCAGGTGAAATATTCCCCCCCCCCCCCCCTCTTCCTACCTGAAACCAGAGGCGTGTCGCGTTTAAACTGGTTTGGTTTGCCTCCATGTGTGAGAGTTTATGTGTCCCCGGGCTCTCAGAGCCTTTGTTTGGTTTCACTCGCTGTAATTTGATCCATTAGTGATGACACCCATTTAAAAACGCTGATAAAAAACACCCCAATCTGCAGTTTAAAGTCTGTACGGCTGGTATATTTAGTTAATTAATGCTAATATACTGTCAAAATTAGCTTTAAAGATGCTAAATGATCAATATTTTGCTTCACAAGCATTAACTTTTGATGGGATTTATCTCAAGTCTTAATAAATATTTACTTTTTATACGTTTTAAGGAGTCCACACAATTAAAAAGGCTGGTTTTAATCTAAAACTAGGCTAAAAAACAACTATATCTGACACAGAAAATAACACTGAATGGAAATCCTACAAAGGACTTACGTGAGATAGAAGTTAAATAAACACTTTTATAAGGATTTTAGACAAACTGATTTAAAAATGCTGATAAAAAACACCCGAATCTGCAGTTTAAAGTCTGTACGGCTGGTATATTTAGCTAATTAATGCTAATATAGCGTCAAAATTAGCTTTAAAGATGCTAAATGATAAATATTTTGCTGCAAAAGCATTAACTTTTTATGGGATTTATCTCAAGTTTTAATAAATATTTACTTTTTAATAGTCCAGACACTTAAAAAGACGGATTTTAAACTAAAACTAGTCTGAAAAACAACTATATCTGCCACAGAAAATAACACTGAATGGAAATCCTACAAAGGACCTATTTTAGATAGAAGTTAAATAAACACTTTTATAAGGATTTTAGACAAAGTTTCTACTGAATGCTCTTTTATATTCAGCAGGGGGCGGAGCTAAACTCCATTCCCTGACCTCCATCTTTTTTCACTTAAAATCTAAACTTTGAAAGACACAAGACAAAAAGAAAAGCCACTTTGACACTTTTTCAAGGAGATAAAACACCATAAATCTGATTTAAACCACAGAATTCGACTCATTTACTGCAAATGAATGTATTTTTTAGCTCTTTTTACTCACACTTTGGTTTCTCCTGTCATGTTTCATTCACCTGGGATTTAATCTGTAATTTTTTAGACTTGAATATTGATTTTTTGGACTAAAAAGGGCGGCAGGTCCAGATTTCGACTCATTTAGTGCAAATTAATGTATTTTTTAACACTTTTTACTCCAGATTTCGACTCATTTACTGCAAATTCATGTATTTTTTCACTCTTTTTACTCCAGAATTCGACTCATTTACTGCAAATTAATGCATTTTTTAGCTCTTTTTACTGCCTCTTTAGTTTCTCCTGTCATGTTTCATTCACCTGGGACTTAATCTGTGATATTTTAGACCTGAATACAGATTTTTTGGACTAAAAAGCTCTCACCCCTGAGCCAGCGCAGCAGATAGTGGTCGTGTTGGGCCGGGAGGCCGGGGAGGATGTCCTCAATCCTCTCCCGAAACTGGAGGGAAACAAAAATACACACGTTAGCCGCTATTAAAAGGAAAAACTCAGTATTTGGGAACGCTTCTTTGCAGGAAGAGCTTGTTAATTCCTCTCTGTGCAAAAGAAAGTAAAGATAGAGGATAGTTAGCTTAGCTTTGCCTCACCGATCGTATTTTGTCCACAAAAAGAGCTTTTAAAACCTATTTCTGTACATTTAAAGTTAAAAATATATATTTTTTTGTCCATTTAAAGGCTTTTATTTGGTCTTTTTGTGCCTATTATCATCACCTATCTTATTTTTGTCCCTAAAAAACAGTTAAAAAACTTTCTCTGTCCATTTAAAGGCTTTTTTAAAAGTCTTTTTGTGCCTATTTTCCTCACCTATCTTATTTGTGTCCATAAAAACTGTTTTAAAAACCTATTTCTGTCCATTTAATAGCTTTTTGTTGTGTCTTTTTGTGCCAATTATCATCTTATTTTTGTCCATAAAAACAATTTCAAAAACCTATTTCTGTCCATTTAAAGGCCTTTTCTGGGTCTTTTTGTGCCTATTTTCCTACCTTATCCTATTTATGTCCATAAAAACTGTTTAAAAAACCTGTTTCTTTCCATTTAAAGGCTTTTTTGTTTCTTGCTGTGCCTATTTTCCGCATCTATCTTATTTTTATTCATAAAGACAGTTTAAAGAACCCATTTCTGTCCATTTAAAGGCTTTTGTTGTGTCTTTTTGTGGCTATTTTCCAAACACATAAAGCAAGAATGGAGAACTGAACTTCATTATCGGTTTCAGTTGTGGAGTTATGCATTCCCAGTTTCATGCCAAGCCAACAAGCTCTCATCTGTCTCTTTTAACAACGCGGTTCCTCTCTGGATTATTTAAAGTTATGCAATGCAGGCTAAGTTCAACAACATAAACCAGAAAAGAAACACTGTACACTTCAGGAACAGCTAAACAAACATTTAAGACGTATTTTTAATGACTTTTTAAAAAAAAGTCCTCATTATTTCTTCACTAAAAAGTCTCTCCATGGAGAAATGTATAAAAAATAACTAAATAAGGTGTATTTTAGTGATCAAAACTAACATTTCCAGATTCTAAATGCTTGTCAAATTTGGGATGTTTAAATTAAAATCACCCAAATTTCTAAAATATTGAATGGAGGCGCCCAAATTAAAAGTCTCCCAATAGATTACACTTAATTATCCAAGCTTCTTTTGTATCATAAAACCAAAAGAACAAAGAAATGAACACAGATTCAATCATAAAAACACCTATAAATCTGTAATAGTGTTAATTATTAAAGCTTAAAAGCTGAAAGTCAACTCCAGGTGATCTGGAAGGATCATTTAGTGGCACAAAAAGAAGAGGAAAACCCTCCAAAATCTGCCCTAAGACACAAAAAGCGTGTTTCTGCTGGAAAACAAAGAAATGAACACAGATTCAATCATAAAAACACACATAAATCTGTATTAATGTTAATTATTAAAGCTTAAAAGCTGAAAGTCAACTCCAGGTGACCTGGAAGGATCATTTAGTGGCATAAAAAGAAGAAGAAAACCCTCCAAAATCTGCCCTAATAGACACAAAAAGCGTGTTTCTGCTGAAAAACAAAGAAATGAACACAGATTCAATCATTTAATGTGTATTAATGTTAATTATCAAAGCTTAAAAGCTGAAAGTCAACTCCAGGTGCCCTGATACCTGAGCAGAAAGCCTTATAGGATCATTTAATGGTATAAAAAGAAGAGGAAAACCCTCCAAAATCTGCCCTAAGACACAAAAAGCGTGTTTCTGCTGAAAAACAAAGAAATGAACACATATTCAATCATAAAAACACACATAAATCTGTAATAATGTTAATTATTAAAGCTTAAAATGCTGAAAGTCAACTCCAGGTGACCTGGAAGGATCATTTAGTGGCATAAAAGAATCGGAAAACCCTCCAAAATCTGCCCTAATAGAGACAAAGATTTTTATAATATAATTTTTTTTTAATAATAGAGACAAGAGATCTTTTTCCCACCTGGTGGAGGCCCTCGGCCTGCCGGGGGCTCAGGTCTCCCACTCGTCCGCTCATGTCTGGGGCTGGTTTCTCCGGGAGGATCCGGGCAGATACACACATCCAGGCAGAGGCCACGCCCCCTCAGGTGGAGGCCACGCCCCCTCAGGCAGAGGCCACGCCCCTAGTCTTAGGCCACGCCCCCAGGCATAGGCCACGCCCCCTCAGGTGGACTTCACCCCCCTGAAACCCGGCACCTGGTCGGACCTGAAAGCGGGAGGAGCCCTCCAGTTTTTCCCACCTTTAACGGGTCAAAGACAGTTATGGAACAGCTAAAGTGCAGCCATTTGTCTTTATTTAAAGAAAAAGCATAAATATTTAAAGAAAAAAGCATAAATATTCACAGGCTCCAGACTCTAAGTTTAGCGATTCGCGACCTAATTTGAGGATATTTGAGAGTTTTTAGCGGTTTAACTTAAAACTAGGCCACCAAAAATAAATAGAATAATTTATATTAATGAGAAATTAAGCTAAATGAACTGGTAATAACACTAAAAAGCTAAATAAATCCAGGGAGACACATTTTAACTTAAAACAAGACCATCAAACATTAACAGAATAATTTATATTAATGTAAAATTAAGCTAAAATAAGTGCTAATAACCCTAAAAGGTTTAATAAATCCCAGTAAAATGCAGAGGGGTAGTTTTATTTAAACTAGACCATCAAGGACAAATAAAACAATTTATATCAATGTGAAATTAAGCTAAATGAACTGTTAATAACCCTAAAAAGTTAAATAAATCCCAGTAAGATGCAGTTTAACTTAAAACTAGACCATCAAAGACAATTGGAACAATTTATATTAATGTGAAATTGAGTTAAAATAACTGGTAATAACACTAAAAAGTTAAATAAATCCCAGTGAGACACATTAAAGAAGTTTAAAACAGCAGAAAAAAGCAATTCGCCCAATAAAATTATGAGTATCTCCAGACATTTTTCATAAAAGTAATTTTATTTTTTAGATACACAAGCTCTTCAGACCTTTCGGCCACCAAAAAAAAGACCAAAAAAAGACCAAAAAAAAGAAAAAGAAAGCTGGTGTTATGAATAAATAAGTGATTTACAAGAAATAGCACTTCAGAAACAATCAGAGAACAAACACCCTCTTTCATTCTTACATCCACGGTCGCTTTAGGTTGTTTTAATTGGCAAAATATAAAGAAATAAAACGACATAACGACCGTTTGCCTCCCAAAGTGTAACAGACGTTTGAGTAACTGGATCCAAAGTCCGGCAGATTTCTCTGGAGGGATCAATACTCCACAAACATCAGCTCAAAGCTTCATTCAGAGAAGAGTTTGGGAGGTTTTAAACCACCTGTGAGCAAAATCAGAGTCTGAAATGTTAAATTAGACACGACTGAACACGTTTAAATTCAGTTTGGAGTTAAATCCTCAGATGGAGGGACGAGGCTGAACCCGGATTTATAAAAACGGAAACTTCTTCCTGTACAAAAAGAAAAAGAAACACCCCCAAAAAAGCATTTTCTTCTATTTTTCCATCCAATTTCCAAACTGATCCTGGTCCTAAAAGTATGGAGGGTCGAGAGAAAAAATACAAACGGCTAAATAAATAAATTGACCTGATAGTAAATGCCATTAAAATCAAATTTGAAATACTAATTCATGTATAAATAATCACAATGAGAAGAAAAAATGAATTTGCTTTAATTCTAAACGCATTGAGTGGAAAAAATGGGAATAATGAGAAAAAAACTAATTCAAATTTAAACCGTTTTGCTTAAGTAAATAAAGACAAGTTTAAAATTAAAGCAGATTTATCTGTTGGATTCTAAATTTGAACTTTAGTCGCATTTTACATCACAAAAAGTTATTTATACGGCCGTATTTTTAGATTCTTTCAAAGGCTTGTTTGAATGATGACTGTTTAAAGCTATTAGACAACTGGATGTGAAACTTTGACTTTATTTTTTGGTGGAAAAACAGGAAAATTGATCAGTAATTAAAACAAATGTTCTACTTTATATGAACTATGTTTATTTTAGACCAGTTTGCAAAGTTAGTCCAGCTCCCAACCTCTCATCTGGTTAGTGAACATCCTACTTATTTCTATTTTTTTTTACCTTTATCTGCATTTTTTTATCTGTTTTTTTTTTATTACAGCTGAATTTAGCTTCACTTTACAAGCTTTCAGCCATTTAATGTTTTTAATTAGAACAGATTTCACTCAGTTGTTTTAAATTAGACAAAAAAAAAGGTAATTTAAAGAGGTTTGGACGTTAAATTGTTGCATAAATTAAATGTTAAATGCTAGTTATAACCTGTGTGTTTGAGAAATATATATATATATATAATATGTGTGTGGTTTAAAGTTTTAAAACATGACTAGAGACAAATGGAGGCAGACAAACTGAGTGACCACAGATCAGTCTGTACATTATTATCAAAAATGTGTTTTTATTTAACCTGTTTTTGGGGTTTGGCCACTAAACACCAAACTGAATGGACATATTTCCGTTAACATAAATCAAACCTGCCGCCCGTGTTTGCTAACCGGAGTAAAACAAGCCGCATTCGCTTAAACATTCATGTCAAACCAAAGCACTTAGACAAAAAAGTTCATTTATATCTGGATTTAAATCCGTTTTTCTCCTTTCTAATGAAGTCCCAAACTTACTATCAAAAATATGTTTTTCCCCACTTTTTATACCAATGACTTCAAAAATAACTCTTCGATTT